TTCAAGCCATCTGCGATTACTTTTAACATGAATTGTGGCCTCGGGATGTTGACTACTATGTCCACTATATATATATATATATATATATATATATATATATATATATACAAAAACTGCACAGTACAATAGGGCCATCTGCATCAGGCCATCTGCGATTGCTTTTAGCATGAAACAGATTGTGGCCTCGGAATGTTAACTACTATGTCCACTATTGTGTGTGTATATATATATATATATATATATATATATATATATATATATATATATATATATATATATGACTGCACAATTGGCTCATTTGGGCATTGTCTGTAAAAAAAACACTATGACGCAATTCACTCTATCTGTACCAGGAGCTCAAATACTAACGTTTCAAAATGTTTGATTGTTAACCTGAGGACACTACAGAGGATTCGGAAAGATTTGGATAGATCTAATGGTGATTATGAAGATTTTTGTAATGATTCCTAGCGATGACGACATTATGCCTTCATTCATCTTCCCACAGGGCTCCAGACTCAACCCATAGGCCTACATCAAGTGCCTTGAAAGATTAACACTGCTCTGGGTCAAGGGGGTGACTGCTGGAAGACCCTATGTCTGGCAACAGGACTCTGCACCATGCCACACAAGCAGGAGAAACCCGTCATGGGTGTCGGACAATTTCTGAAACCACCTTACATGTGGCCACCTAACTCACCAGAATTTCAACCCACTTTATTATTATGCGTGGGGTGCAGTTAAGGGAGAGACCAACAATGTACCTTGTGACACCAAAGATGAACCGAAGGCAAGGATTATGACAACATTCACAAACTTAAACAAAGAGACTGTCTAGAAGAGATGGAGGAGATTCCAAAGTTGTCTGGAGGTCATGGTTGAAGCCAATGGGGATTTTCATGAATAAATTTTCTCTTTAGTATCTCGAGATAGTTTTGTGTAATTTTAGTAGATATATATATATATATATATATATATATATATATATATATATATATATTTGTTAAAATGTTAGTGTTATTTTCTTTTCGGGGTAATTCATCCGTCGCACCCTATATATATATATATATATATATATATATATATATATATATATATATATTTCTAGATAGATATATAGATAGATAAGCAGCAGAACAAGTGAGAAAGAAAGAAACAAACAAAGACAGACAGACGCACAGAAAGAAAGAAAGAAAGAAAGAAAGAAAGAAAGAAAGAGTTAAATAGATAGATAGATAGATAGATAGATAGATAGAAAAGCAGATTGAAAATTGAGAAAGAGTCAATAAGTCTTTGTTCACTTTAACTTCCTAGCATTTTTTTCTTCTCTTCCACTCTCCACTTGACTTCCTCAACAATCGACTAATTGAACAACTGGTAAAAATCCTGCATGTCATTAATATTTTAGTGGAGACTGGTACGCATTTGCTAAATGTAGCTTAGGTGTGGTTCAAGGCCATGTGTATGAATCAACTACGCAGAATCGAACTCACTGCTCCGTCGGAACTGATATCGCAAAACACCATAGTGAGGATTTTCTAAGCGTAGCTTAGATGTGGCACAAGGCCGAAAGCATGGAGCGCCCATGAAGGACTGAACTCACTATTCAATTAAAATTGATCTGATGAGACAAGCTTGCTAACTATTTTACTACGCGGAAGAGCCTGCAGCAGGCAAAAATGGCTAATAAGAAAAAGCATTGTCATTTATAGAACTCCACTGGGGGATTATATTCCAGTCAACAGGGGTGACATCGGGATTAAATACTAAAGTCTGGTTGGTTGAAAGTTGAGAGCTCAATCCCTGGGTTGGGCAGTGCATTATATTTTTCTCTTCAACCCCATTTAAATAGCCGACACCTTTATCTCGATCACCTTTGAGGAAACGGACTATTTGTTTTCCAATCCTTCATAGTTTAAAACAGCACCAAAGCACTCCGTTTAAAGAGTGCATGTATTCATCCGCGTCCACTTGGCAGTTTATGACGATGTCCAAAGGAATCATGAATCGTTAATATCAGGGTCTAAACGCGCAAACCGACTTGGAGAGAAGATTTATGGAAGACATAAATAATTAATGGACTCCGTCACTGGACAGTGGCGATTAAGGGAAAATATTTCTTGGCATGGCAAGTTACAAGTCGACGCCAAAGATTGCTCAATTGTCCGCACATGACGAATCCATAAACAAATTCGCGCACAAATATATAAACGACTGATATAAATGCCTGAGCAATTTAGGACTTTTAAGTTCACACTTCACACTATTATCGCATACAACTTTTCAGATCAATAACAGTAAAGATACACAGTGTAACCTGGATATAAGAGAAACCCGGATATAAGAGAGATTTTTTCTGGTCCCAAATTAGAGCCTGTGTTAATGTATATATAATAGACCAAACCCGGATTTAAGAGAAACCCGGATATAAGAGACTTCTTCTCCGGTCCCGACAACTCTCTTACATCCGGGTTACACTGTATATCCAAAATAAATATATTAGTAAACTGATAGCCCCACCCACAAACTATTACGATATCTTGTCGTTATAGTTACACCCATGTGCACATTAATTGAAACAACCGTTTCAGTTTAATTTCTTTCACCATACTGTCAGTTTTAGACTCACGAGTGACAGGGTGTAATCGATTTCTATTTTTTCTTAGATTAGGCCACTTGCAGTGGTGTGCAGTTATATGAATCTATTTTCGGGGAGTATCATGAAATGTGTTTGGCCTTGAAAAATATCGCGTCATCCGTGACTGCATCAGATTTTTATCACGCCCAGACACTATTGTTTTTACTGTCGATTAGTTGTCCTACGGCCACTGTCCGCGATGGACGTTACTCCAAGAAATCGTATGAAAATTGTAACACTACACAACGCTACACAAACACACTGGCAAGCCTTACCAGTGAGAAATTCAAAGTACTATAGACTGGCCCGGAAATTCTCCTGATTTAAATCCAATCGAGAATCTGTGGTCCATCTGCAAGGAACGACTTCATAAAATAGATATACGAAGCACTAACATGGGGACTGGGTCGTGTTTGTGGAAAAATACGGAAAAAAGTGAATAATGACGGAATTATTCGTTTTGTTTCAATTAATTTGTACAAAGATGTAATCTCCAATTATCTTGACTTGTTTCTTATCGTTGGTTCCATGATGTCTGATGCTGAGGGCCCATATATTCTTGCTCGGAAACCATCGGATTTTTAGAGGTTGGGATTAACTGCTTCAACGGAAAGGCCTCAGTAATGCTCGCATTAATTTCATGTCATTGACAATCGATTTTACGACTGGATTCCTAACGGAAAAGTTATATCAGGCAATGGACTTTAAAACTCAGAATTTAATCATAAAATGTTACTCCTAACCGCAGAAAAGACAACGTCGAAGAACCTAGACATTTTGAATATCACTAGTACAGGTTACGCAGTAAGGATATGACTAGGTAGCCAATCAAGAAGGATCTTACTGTGCATGCGTGAACAGATATTCTGCCGAGGACTTACTCGCAGACAATGACCTTAGGACAACTAATTAACAGTCGAGACAATAGTATCCGAGCGCAATAAAAATTTGATGCAATCACGGATAACGCAAAAAATTTCATCATACACCCCGAAAATAAATTCATATTACTGCATACTACTGAAAATAACTATCTGAAAATAAAATAGGAAATCGATTACACCCTGTCACTCCAGTGCGTCTAAAACTGACCATATGGTGAAAGAAATTAAACTAAAACATTTGTTTCACTTAATTTACACAAGGGTGTATGCTGCATACTGTTCGAGTCGGTCGTCTGATGACAAAACACTGGCTGGGTCGTTAATGGCCGAAGCATAACACAATGCATTTGTTTTCAATACTGAGTGTTTCCAAACTTAACTTCAGCGTAATTTGATCGTAAACAGAACTATATATATATATATATATATATATATATATATATATTTGTTTTCAATACTGAGTGTTTCCAAACTTAACTTCAGCGTAATTTGATCGTAAACAGAACTATATATATATATATATATATATATATATATATATATATATGATTAATACAAATAAAATGTTATATTCAGCACTTCGACGTCAGAGTTTAGTAGGCAAATCCTTTTCCGTAATCGTTCTGTCCACTCGTCAGTCAGGAGGTTTCAGAAGTTGACTGCCGATTTTCACTTTTGTGTTTATCTTTTACTAAAAAGACGTAAAACGGGGATAGTAGTCGTAGATCGGGGGTCCTATGGGTAAAAGAGAAACTCGGATGAGTTTCACCACGGAATATCTGATCGGAATATGTGGCGCTATATTGAGTCTGATTCATTGCCTCTCCGTCACCGAGGCCCGTTGGTATCGTTGGTATGACGTTTGCCTGATATCGTAACTGTCCTGCTTTCAATTCTCGGTAGTGGATGCGCACTACTGATGAGTCCCAAATATAGGACGAAATGGCCGTCCAGTGCTTTCTGTTGAGGCCTCTTCTAGACTCGATTTATTACTTAATTATGATTATCTCATATCTTCCTTATAATTTCTATCACTTTTATATATATATATATATGTGTGTGTGTGTGTGTGTGTGTGTGTGTGTGTGTGTGATAAATCTTATAACTGTCCCCTATTCTAAGATTTCTTTTCTTTTATCACTCACACCTCTTTATCTATCTATATATATATATATATATATATATATATATATATATATATATATATATTTATTTAAATTTTTTAGGATTTTTAAATATAATTTAATTTTTTTTAAATATAACTTTATTTAACTTATCTTTAAAGTTAAAAATGGATAATTTATTTTATATTATTTATTATTCTTTAATATAAAATTTGTTAATTATATTGTTACTTAAATTTAATATGAATTATCTAAATGTGATTTATTGTTAATCTTTTAATATATCTCTTTTTTAAGTTTTATTTGTTATATTTTAAATCGGAACCTAACTTTTTATATATATAATTATTTTTTTTTATATACAACTCTCTTTTCGACCCTCTTTTAGTTTCAATTTCAAAATGATCCAGAACCCAGTTAAAGGGGTTATGGTGAAATAGCTTATTACATGGAATCTTAACGTGGTCTGTCTTTTATTCAAACATATCTGCTCTGAATTTTACATTGAGCTCTCTGGATATCATCCTCCTCAAGTCTACCCATGTACTTTATTGACCCCCCCCCCCCAAAAAAAAACACTATTCGTTTTTTCTTTGGACTTTGAGCTTAAACACGGGACGATTGTTTTCGCCTTTTTTAATGTTCTTGGTTCTTTTCTTTTTTTATTCCCCATTTTTCCTCGAGTACCGATTTGTTCTACTGCAAGTCGAGCTATCCAAGGTTTTTCCAAACGAGTACCACCATTTTATATATATATATATATATATATATATATATATATATATATATATATATTATGCAGTGTTACATTAGAATATGCACGTACCCACTACAAAACTGTACATCTTGTTTCAACGTTAAAAAAATATATTTTTAACGTTTCATCTGGTGGGGAATCACGATGCGACTGAAATATTTTATTCAGAAATGCTGTTATCGATGTATAACTTCCACCTCCGTCATTGAAATAATTAATAACAGGAGGAGGGGAAGAAAATCAGAGGAAGAAGGTAAAAAAAGAATAATTGTTACCCTCTTCCTCTTATTTCTCTTCTCCCTCTCGTTGTTACTAATCATATATATATATATATATATATATATATATATATATATATATATATATATATAACCCGGATATAAGAGAATTGTCGGGACCGGAGAAGAAGTCTCTTATATCCAGGTTTGGTCTATGTTATATACATTAACACAGGCTCTAATTTGGGACCAGATGAAAATCTCTCTTATATCCGGGTTTCTCTTATAGCGGGGTTTCTCTTATATCCGGGTTACACTGTGTATATATATATATATATATATATATATATATATATATATCAATTTGGTATCATTTAAATACACATGTAGCCCTACTAAACTCTACTCTATAGGCAATATACTCGTTGATAATACAGACATAATAGACTTAGCCACATGTAAAAAAGTGGCTAAAAATAATGGAAGCATTATTAATAAAATAAAAATAGCTAACACTTAATAATATCAACTTTGAACACGGCCACAACGTGGTGGCCGTGTTCTGATAATAAAACATTTCTATCACTCTAGATACATACATAAAACAATCCATACATTCAGTTACAATTAAAAATACAATTCATCTTTGATAATGGCTAAAAGTATAGCCGAAAGTGCTCGGACATAAAAAAATAAAAAAATAAAATAATGTACAATTTACGTCCGGAAAATCATAAGAACACATGTAAAATTAAATAAAAAAAACTTAACCGCAGTACCTTGTAAGTCTTTTGTTAACGAAATTTGTATAAAAAATGGATTGCTGACCAAATACACAAATATATCCACATGTATACAAATAGTATATATAGTCATCCACAGACAGATTGTTTTGCAGCTTATCAGGCATGCGATTGCTTCAAGCCAGGATCGAAACCCGACTCTCACCTCTAGGTCATCAGCGCACGAAAGGAAGACAGGAAGTTTTGAACATATAAGTATTACTAACTAGCAGAGGTCTCAATTCATAGTGAAGAGCTTAGCATTAATCAGCAGCAGCCGCCGTGAAATTCCCTTTCTTCCACAGTGCTCAACCTACGCAAGGGGGGACTGATGTCCTAAAGGACGAAACGCGTCGCATGAACAATTCTTCCACTTTCTCATACTTATTTTCCCTAAAATTGTTTGTGATATGCAAATGCTTATACTTCGTTATCCCATTCACAATGTAACCACAGTTAATTTACGCCCTAACTTTACATTTTTCCATTCCTAGCAGATCTTTTATTATCACAGCCTGAGATATCAAATAACAAAAGTGATGGAAAGAAAAAAGAAAAAAAAAGAATCTAAAATGAAATCGGCTTGATTATATGAAATAAAAATAATCTAAAATTCCCGGCATCCTTCATTCGTGTGCATGTGTAGTCGCACTAATGTAACAAATTTAGTGAGATGAAGTCGTCCTAAAGGACGAAACACGTCACACAAAAACATATATATATATATATATATATATATAGTTTTAATGTGTGCTATGTTTATGGAATAAAGTGCTCAATATCAGGGATAGAGCGTATGTAAATATAAATATAAAAGTGAACATTGAAGCCGACACTCAAAGGAGACAGGCTGTTTCATGCTGGACGCAATCGTCAGGCGTGACGATTGCGTCTACCATTATATATGTATATATATATGTGTATATATATATACATATATATATATATATATATATATATATATATATATATATATACATAAGTCTGTGTGTACAGACTTAGATAGATAGACACATAGATAGATAAGGAACTGAGATAGATAGATAGATAGATAGATAGATAGATAGATAGATAGATAGATAGCAGTATTTGAATACCTGCCACAAAAAGAAACAGTAGTATCGCCGAATCAATCCATATTATAAGCAAAAGAATTCACTTTTGCTCGGAAAGTTTCAAAACATCGTGTAAACCAAGATGTGAAGTGTTGATATACAGGATGTGTGTAAGCCACGCTGGGCTCAAGTCCAAGCCACGACAACTGAAGATAAACAGGTCAATGGATGAGGAATCATTTGATAAATCAGGAAGCGACTAGATAAACAGACTAAATTATGCGCATGACTAAAAAGGGACAATATTTATTGGCTGCTCTGTATTCCTCATTTATTCAATTCGCTGAGAAATTGAAATGCCGACTCGTTTGTCTGATGAAACATACGAAGGAAATGCATCGTTGTAGCAAAAAGTTCGTTCGGTTTTATGATCTGTGGCCCACATTTTTCACTTTTCCCCCGATTTCAATACCTCGATTCATTATTCAGGGTCTGACTGTAGTCGGCGCTGTTTGCAGAATCATTGGCTAAACTGCAAAACATTTATTACTCCATTCGTTAAGTGTATACATCTTCACGCATACATCGTCGTGTGACTGTACACATCTCACTTCGTACACACACACATATATATACGTGCAAAATCACTCAAAAATGCTCAATAAAGAACTCGACCCACAAAAAATAATGATTCCATTTTTCGCAATGACAATGGTTTATTCCATCTCAAATTATATATATATATATATATATATATATATATATATATATATATATATATATATAAGAAAGAGAAAAAGTGAAGCCGCAAGCGTTTTTTTGGTCATGATGTCGTATTTTTAAATATATATTATACTTTATTTTTCCATATATATTTTCCACTAGTCCAAGGAAAAAATTGGTTTTCTGCTACACACAAAAGGACAATGGTTAAACACATGAAAACATAAGGAAAATTAATTCCTTTTTTAATAATATGCGGAAATAACCACACTTTTACTCTGATATTTTATATATATATATATATATATATATATATATATATATATATATATATATATATATACATCTAAATATATATACATACATACATACACATACATATACATATAAATTTACATTCATATTTCCCCTTCCACTCACCTCTATTTAAAAAAAAAACTCTCTGTTAAATTTTAATCTCCCACCTTCTCTCGTCGGTTACCCCTCTCTTTAACTCTAACATTCGTCCCACACTCTCATACTTACACACTCTCTATATTCTATTCTTATTTCCGGAGTTGTTTTTTTCTGTTTTCTTTTTGAATTTGTAGGTCTGATGAATTGGATCGTATTTACGATTCCAATGGAATAAATTATGTGAATTTTTATTATATATATATATATATATATATATATATATATATATATAGTTGTGTGTGTGTGTGTGTGTTAACCACTAATATTACATATGCATATATATATATATATATATATATATATATATATATAGATAGATAGATAGATAGATAGATAGATAGATTTATACGATTGCGTCTAGCATGAAACAGACTGTCGCCTCTGTGTTGACTTCAATGTTCACTTTTATATTTACACATGCTCTATCTCTGATATTGAGCACTTTATCCCATAAATATAGTAGATCTTAAGACTATATTTCTTCATATATATATATATATATATATATATATATATATATAATAATTATTTCTTTTAAAAAATATGATTCCATTGCGACACAGAAATTACTATGTTTGGAAACTGGTGAGCAGTATTTAAGTTTAATTCCAATATTAAACCATAACTACTGGCTGGCAGTTTCATCATCAAGCGTTGTTTTGGAATAACTATGGTACGGAATGTTTCACTCATTTATATTTTGGGAATGGAGATGTGGTCTAGGGTTTGTTTTTTCTTTATCAAGGGGTCACTGATTATCTACTGCTAGGAAAATTTGTTCACTGTGTTCTATTAGACAATATTTCATACCAGAATGTCTTTTACATATTTATATCACTACCATTTGCGTTTGCTTTGAATATTGCTGCCACATCTAATGAAGAATCTGCAATTTGTTCCGACCTGGTATCCTGGCCTCAGTTAATTTCACACCGTCATTTTTATATCCAATTTTGAGGGTAGAAAAAGTGAGTAGAAAAAGAACTTATGTAAATGCTTGGCAGAATAGAGATTAAGACATACAGCAAAAATAGAAACTATAATGAGCATTAAAAAGGACAGGAAGTTGTCGAGAGCCATGATCACCCACGTCCTGAATGCAGACGTCACAGATAAGAAGAATTATTTATATCGCTATGTGTTTAATCATCTTAGAAATATTAATCTTTGTCTTCGATTTTATGACACTGATTACTTACTTGGATTTTTGATTTGCATGAGTTAAAAACATGAGGTATATTTTCTCATCGATAGATTTTCAGTAAAAAAAAAACTTTTCCCCCTCCAAATATAGTTTCATTAAATCAAATATTGATGTTATAGTTTTTAATTCTGTTTTTTTTTTTTTTTTTTTTTTTTTTTTTTTTTTTTCATGTCCCGTTTCAGCCGTGGGGATTAAAACTTTTACTTCATAGATTTCTTTGAGTATCATTTCTTTCTTTGCATCAAATGAAATTCTCTGACAATAAAACACAACAAAAAACAAACAGCAACCCAAATACTAAAAAGAAATGTGAAATATTAACTCAAAATAATCCTGGACAAAAAAACAGCAAACAGTAACGAATCAATAAATATTGCTAAAAATTTTCAGACAAACCATTTTTATATAATTCTATCCGAAAGTGGTATTTTCATTCTGTATCCTTTTTATCATGACAGCACTTCGCTTGCACCAACTGAATATGAATATCTATATAACAGTAAAATTCCAATCTGGTATGTATCTAGGTATTTATGTATAGGCACATGGCCAAGTGCTTAGAATGTTCATATTCTAACCATGAGATTCGAGTTCAAATCTCACCATGGCCGATGTGTCAGAAAAGAGACTTCCTGGCGTTATCGGACCGGAGGGGTCAATCCCAGCATGTGGCACCTTTGAAAAGTTCTTGAAAATCATACTTTGGGTTGGCCCAATCTTTGTGAGTGAAATTGGGTAGACAGGACCCTTGGGAGCCGTCAATAACTATTCTTGCACAAAGTCACAAGTCATCATGGCTGAGGGCTTGGGCATGCTGGACTTGTTCAAATTGTTGATCACGCTAGATAATGCACTTTCTCCCAGAAACTGTAACTAAGGTCTGCTCAGCATAGTTGCAGTATAAACCACAGGTGGGCTCTGTGGATGTTGAATAAACACACATGCGCCTGAGCAAGAGCCTGCGATAGGGATTGGCTAGTCACCCTAGTAGACGGGTATCCTTGTATACGATTGGCCAGCTATACTATGTCTGTATTTATGGGAGTTCTCGAGGTACAGCTTCAATGATAGATAACTCCCCAACAAATTTAGGAGCATATTGTACCTTGAATCCATCCCGAGTGCAGAATCCAAATTTCATTAAAATTAGACCTGGTATTATTGGGCTACGGTCCTTTTGCTCTGTTCTTACGCCATTTTTAATAGGAATTTCAGTATTTATTTTTGATACACATTCTTATATAAATCCGCGTCTATAAACAAACACATGGATATTAAATTCCAACTATTATGTGTGTGAAAAATAATAAACATTTCAAATATATTATAACAATATTATTAAATAAAGTTAAATATGCTTAACCAACATATATATATATATATATATATATATATATATATATATATATATATATATATATATATATATATATACACATACATACAATTCTCTTTGCTATATAAGAAGTATTTTTATAAATAAATATTTCGGATGTTGGTAAAGACTTGATAGGTAGGTGTGTCACTGTAAAACGTAATTTGTATGGCTGAAAGATTGTGTCACATGATTGATTAGATGGTAACTAAATAAATAAATGCATGTTTATTTATCGCCTTCATGTATTCTGAAATAAATGCGAGAGAAAAAACAAGTGTAATAAAAAATATAATTATTATTAGTTTATTATTGCGTTTGATCTACAATAATACATTTCATAATATTGTTACCTCATCTTTTTGTATCATGAACTACTTTTAAATGAAACCAATGGGTTTATGGGTGGTCTAATATTTTACAAATGACACTTGGTGTAAAAGCTGAAATATTTTGTAAACATAACCAACCGAGTGTATTCATTTTACTAACCTAATGTAAAATAACACCACCCAAATTGACACCGCCATCTTGAAATTTATGTTTAACACATAAATAAAAAAAAATGATATTCGTAATTGTGAACTTGTTAAAACATTTGGGCACTAAGTCTTCATTTTGCTGCATCTAAATTACTATTTGCTTACTGTATCTAAATTACTATTCGGTTGTGCTATTTCAGGATCAGTAAGAACTATAATAACTGTGAACTAAAATTCTCAAATCAGCAATATCTCGTTGTTTTCTCTGTGAGATTCACGATTACGGGTCGTATAGGAGTAGCATAAGAACGTGTGTCCAGCACCTTCCTCAGTATTCTTGCTGAAAATACTATCTCACTTCTTATTCAAATTTCTAATTCTTTTGATCTTTTGTTCATATATACTCTCAGAGTGAATTCCAAGGTTACGAATAATTCCACTTTTCCCGCCATAACTTTTGCATCACACATCAACGACGGCGCTACTGGCTCCTGTTTCATTTTTATTTCGAAAATCTGCGACAATATCTAATCATTATTTACATTATTCAGACTATTGTTCTCATCTTTGTCGCCATATCTATTACAACGTTTTGGCCGTTGTACGCTCAGGCCTTCTTCAGGTGGTTGGAATGTCGAACTGAACCCTTTATTTCGCTCACTGGGGTAGACTGTTCTAGTTCCACGTGCCATGTTTAATGGATGTCAGTCATCAGTTATCTCCTTTCTCCACTGCCTTAACCGGGTATTGAACTAACACTCTTTGCGTTCTGTCACTGGATCTAACTAACGGCTTTATCCAC